GGCTGTGGTGGCAACGCATAGGGGGCACCGCTGTGGCCCTCCGCAGATGCTTGCTGGTGCCCTGGACGGGCACAGCGCTCCCCTCTCTCCACGCCTCTGCCGGTCACTGGGGACATCATTCACCCCAACCTGATACCCTCGAGAGCTCAGCACACACCACAACCCCTTCAGGGCCTTTCTGCTCCCGTCTTCCAGGCCTCGTCTCCAAGGGAAGGGACTGCGGGATATAAAAGCCACTCTTAAAGGGCTTGGGAGGGTAGGCAGAGATTCTTTCACAGGCCACAGAAAGCACCACCCATAAAGGAAAAGAGTGATAATTGGGCTGTATTTATTAATAACTTTTTTAATTTAAAAAATTAATTTTTTATTGAGGTTTAATTGACATGTAACGTTAGTTTCAGGTGTACAACATAATGATTCAATATTTGTAGCTATTGTGAGATAATCACCACAATAAGTCTACTCAGCATCTGTCACCCTACTTAGCAACCCTCGAGTACGCACTGCAGGATTTATTACCTACAGTCACCGCGTTGTACATTCGTCCCAATGATTCAATTACTTTATAACTAGAGGTTTGTACCTTTTGACTCCCGTAATCCATTTTGTCCCCCCACCTCCACCTCTAGCAACCCCCAATCTGTTCTCTGTATCTGTGAGCTGCTTTTTTTTTTTATTATAGCTTAAAAAAAATCCACATATGAGATCACAGTGTTTATCTTTCTCTGACTGATTTCACTTAGCATAATGCCCTCCAGTGTCATCCATGTTGTCGCAAAAGGCAAGATTTCATTCTTTTTTTTTTTTTATGGCCAAATAATATTCTATTGTGTATGTACTGCATGTTCTTTATCCATTTGTCCATTGAGGGATGCTTGGGTTGTTTCCGTATCTGGGCAATTGAAAATAATGCTTCAGTGAAAAAAGGGGTGCATATACCTTTCTTTGTATTAGTGTTTTTCCCTGCCTTTGGATAAATACCCAAAGTGGAATTGCTGGATCATGCGATGGTTCTGTATTTAATTTTTTGAGGAATCTCCATACTGCTCCAATTTACATTCTCACCAACAGCGCACAAGGGCTCCCTTTTCCCACACCCCTGCCAACATTTGTTATTTCTTTTTTATACCTGCCATTCTAACAGGTGTGCAGTGATAGCTCACTATGGTTTTGATTTGCATTTCCCCGATGATTAGTGATGTTGAGCATCTTTTCATGTACCTGTTGGTTTACCTGGATGTCTTCTTTGGAAAACTGTCTACTCAGATCCTCTGCCCATTTTTTAATCAGTCATTTGTGTGTTTTGCTATTGAGTTGTATGGGCTCTTTATATAATTTGGATATTAATACCTCATCAGATATATGATTTGCAAATATTTTCTCCCATTCCGTAGGTGGCTTTTTCATTTTTTAAAATTTCATTTGCTGCGCAGAAGCTTTTTCATTTGATGTAATCCCACTTGTTTAATTTTGCTTTTGGAGTCAGATCCAAAAACTCATTGCTAAGACCTATGTCAAGGAGTTTACTACCTATGTTTTCTTCCAGAAGTTTCATGGTTTTAGGTCTTACTTTGAAGTCTTCAATCCATTTTGAGTTCACTTCAGTATGTGGTATACCATAGTGGTCTAGTTTCATTCTTTTGCCTGTGACTGTCTAGTTTTCTCAACATCATTTATTGAAGATTATCTTTACCCCATTGTATATATATTCTTGGCTCCTTCATCATAAATTGATTGAACCATATACATGCCCGGGTTTATTCCTGGTCTCCCTATTCTGTTTCATTGATCTATGCGTCTGTTTCTATGCCAATGGCGTATATCATATGGCATTTTTGGTCACGGTAGTTTTGTGATGCAGTTTGAAATCAAGCAGCACCACGCCTTCAGCCCTGACCTTTCTCAAAATTGCTGTGGCCATTTGGGGTCTTTCATGGTTCCATACAAATTTTATGATCATTTGTTCTATTTCTGTGAAAAATGCCATTGGAATTTTGAAGATTGCATTGAGTCTGTAGGTTGCTTTGGGTAGTATGGACTTTTTAACAATATTAATCCTTCCAGGGTTAATGATAACTGTCTATAAACATGAAATATCTTTCCATTTATTTTTGTCGTCTTCAATTTCTTTCATTAATGCCTTACGGTTTTCAGTGTATGGGTCTTTCACCTCCTTGGTTAAATTTATTCCTAGGTATTTTACTCTTTTTGATGTAATTGTAAATGGGTTGTTTTCTTAATTTCCCTTTCTGATAGTTCATTGTCAGCGCAGGAAAGCAAATGATTTTTGTATATTGACTTTGTATCCTGCAACTTTCTGGATTCAGAAAAAGCATTCTAAGCAGAGGGAACAGCATATGCAAAGGCCAGGAAGCACAGAGGTTAGGGTGTGAGGAACCACATGTGCAGCGGGGAGATTGGCCGGGGGGTGAGGCGCGGACGGGAGGTGGCGTCAGACGTAGGAAGGCGGGTGCAGAAACCTGATTGGGACTTCCCTGTAAGAGCAGTCTCGCTAGCTGGAGCTTGGCTGTGTGGATGAGGGATAGCATGGGAAGGCCCGGAGGTGGGGGAATGGCTATGGGGGTGATACTGCAATCCTAGTAAGAAGTGCCGGGGGCCAGGACTCAAAAAAAAAAAAGCAGCATCGAGAAGAGAAAAGAGTGGCTGCATTTGAAAACAAACTTCGATGAGAGAACTGTCCAGCTGGCAATGGGGGTGACCACAGATGGCTCCGGGCAGTGGCAGGGGCGGCTCTGGCAGGAGATGGAAGAGCTGTTCCAGAGACGAAGGAGTCAGAGCAGGGGCCGTTTGGGGCTTGGGGGGAGATGGCACCTTCAGCTCGGGCTGTGCTGAGGTCAAGGTGGGGCCTCCAGGTCGCTGCTGGAACTGCGTCACTGTGGGCCAGGGACAGAGCTAAACATCGTTAAAGACACAGGCTGCTCCCAGCTGTCGGGAGGACATAGAAGTGGGGGAGAGAGAGGCAAGAGCGGGGCTTGGGGAGCCCCAGAGTTTTAGGGATGAGCCAGTTTGTCTGGAAAAAAACAGAGCAGGGGGGAGAAATAGGAGAGACGTGGCTGGGGTGTGTACGTGTGAGGTGGCGTGGGACGGGCTAGACCATCAGCTCTGCAAGGACGGGGGTGTCACTGCGAGTCCCCCGTGCCTGGCTCAGAGCCTGCACACGGAAGGTGCTCACACATGACTTGAATGGCTAGACGGATAGATGAAAGGATGAATGACATGTGAGACACCTCACCGTCCTCCCTCGCGCCACAGCTGCTGGTGGGGTACTTTCCTCCCCCGGGGAAGGTCTCCCATCCCTCTGCCCATGGTGCTGCCTTCCTCTGTGGCAGATGCCTCTCCAGGACCCAAACCTAGACCTGCTCCAGAGGCTCCGCGATCACATACCCCCCTCCCACAGGAGCCAGAGCAACCAGGGGCAGAAGGGGCCCCTTGACCCAGGCCAGCCTATCAGAGTCTATCCTGGGACTCTTGCCTCTGGATCTTCTGAACTGAGAACACATGAACTTGGGTGGCTGTGTGTATACACACGTGTGTGCTATGTATGCTGGTGTGCGGAGCACATGAGAGGGAGGGCCGGAGTGTGGCAGAATGAGAAGCAAGCAGACATCCAGGTAGAGGCGGATGAGGCAGTGTGGGCAAAACGGGAGAAATAGGTGCCACTGGCTCTGCTCAGCCGGGCCCTGTTTTGGGCTCTGAGTGTCCCAGATCTGGGCCTACCGGCTAACCCTGCTTTGGCCTTGGCTGCTGTGTATGGACTTTGGTGTTTTGCTGCCCGAAGGCGGGTGTGTGAGGTGCCTCTTCTGAGGCTCTGGGCACCCATCTGTCGCTCTGCCTTCCCGAGCAGAGCTGGAGGCCCCCTGCAGATAGGCTCTGGGTTCTGGATGTCAACCACCACCACTCACTCTTGCTTAGCGCCCACACACAATGCTATGGATGGCAACTCAGAACTCGGGTCCCAAAGAAAGACCTGCATGCCACTCAGGCTCTGCTCGTGCTAAATGCCCTGCGAACGTCCTGGTGCTCCCTTCGCAAGGGAGGCACCGCCCAGGTCTGACAGGTGTTGGGTCGTGAGCCGAAGGCTACATGGTTAGTAGGTGGCAGAGCCAGACTTTGAATCCAGCTCCTCAGACTGCACACGCAGTGTTCTTTGGGGGTTTCTCATGGAATTAACTCTGGGAGCTTTTTTTCTGGGAGATGCCAGAGGTGGGGGCCTGGGCCGGAGGCGCTGACACGCTGCGGGGAGCCTCATGGTCGTGATGAGATGAGGCGAAATGAGCTAAGGGTTGCCCTGGTCTCGCTGGAGTCTAGTGTGAACAGGGCTGGAGGCGGGGACAGCTCAGACCGTCCTGTCTAGCCCAAAAATGCAAAGGTCACCTAGAAAGGCAAAATGATTTGAGAGTGAAACCTGAACTGGCACGTCCTCACAAGGAGCCTGTGCGTGTCCCGCGGCCCTGCAGCCCCTCCCCGGCGTTCGGGGTGGCGCCTTACAGGCAGGTGAGCAGTCGGGACAGGACTGGAACCACGCAGCTGCGTGTCCTCCCGGCAGCCGGACCGAGCCCGCCCAGACACGGCTCCGGGGCAGGCCGCAGATGAAAGGGCCCGCATTCCTTGCTGTGACCCGCAGAAGGGCGCACGTGTCCCAGGCTTTTACTGCAAGTGGGGCTTTTCTCCCTCAGGAGCATTCCTGAGGGCCGGTGCTGGAGAAGGGCAGGGCTGCACCGGCCCCTCCTGCCTTCTCCCGGCCTGTAACCAGGCCGTCTCCGCTCAGTGGGGCCAAGCAGCCACCAGCTCTTTCAGGAAGGCTGGAAGGTCGGGGCGGCGGCGGCGGCGGCGGCCATCGGCCCCTTAAGGCCGTGGCTGGCCCAGCCAGTGTCTGGGACAAGCTGGAGGCCTGAGGGATACTATCTCAAGTGGCTTCAGAGACAGCAGCTAGCCAGGAAAAGGTTAAAACAAACATTTATTTAACAAATTATATTAAGAAGGCAGACAATCACACAGTGAAACTTCCCTTTGCCAAGTACAAGAGTCGCCTCAAATAAATACTCGCAGGAAGGACGCCGTTCCCACGGCCAGTGCACGGTGGCCGGCGGAGGCCCTGCGCCCTTTGCTGGGGGAGCAGAGCCCCGCCTCGCGGTGGTGACAGCGCAGCTGCCGAGGGGCCGCGTCTGCAGCAGGTGAAGAAAGCTGGGCTGACCCAGGGGCGCCGGCAGCTCCGGGTCCCTGGACAGTAGACGGTGAGCTGAGTCCGGCGGGCTCAGCTCCGGGGCACCCTGCGGGCACGGGGCTGCTTTGTGGAGGGCTTTCTCTGCGCCCACCCTCAGGCCCCCCAGTTCTCAGGGTAGCTGCGGGCAGGGCTGCCCCACAAATGGCCAGCGATGGGGCAGCCGCAGGGGGCCCTCGTCTGGGTGGGGCGGGCAGGCGCCCCCCCACCCCCATGCTCAGCGCCCGTGTCGAGATGCTATGGCGACGCCAGCATGACTGGTGGTGGCTGCGATGGCCGTTAGTGGCCCAGAAACTAAAAGGTCATCATGAGGCATGTGCTTATGTTGGGAGGGCTGGCACCGTGGACTCTGGGGCCAGATGAGACTTGGGTCCAAAGCCTGTCTCTGCCACTTACCAGCCTTGTGCCCTTGGACAAGTCTCAGCTTCTCCATCTGTAACGAGGAGCAAATCACATCCCCTTCTGGGTACGTGTGTTTCTTAGGGGGCAATGTTGAGAAAAATGTGCTTGAGGTGCCGGCCCGAGGCCTGGCACAGAATGTGAGCACAGTGCGCGCTTGTCTTCTCGTCCCCACCTGCCACCTTTCTGAAGGACGTGGGGCAGGCGGCAAACAGCCCCCAACCGACCTCAGCCGCTTCTCACCACCAACCGCGTGTCGCCAGCAAGACGGGCAGACAGGTGGTAACCTCCTGGCGGGGGGCACGGGCAGCCTGGGCTCTAACTGCTGTTTCTCCGTGCCCACGGGGCCCCTCTTTCCGAGGGGCGGCTCACGGCTGAGATTGGTTCTCGGACTTGGATGGGGAAAGAAGCCTTGTTATAAATTTGCAAGTGAGCCTGGAGCAGAGTGCTTACTCCTTGTCACCGCTGTGCCACTTCCAAGGCCTTTGGAGAGAATTTTTGAACTTTCAGTGGGAAGAGAAGGCAGGGGGGTGGGGGTTGGCGCTGTGCTCTGCTTAGAGTATTTTGGGGGGATGGAGGGTGTTGGGGGGTGGTGAGGGCAAGGCCGCTGCCCTTCACATTTCCATGAGAACCTTTCCTTCCCTTCCCACCTGGCCAGACTGTAAAGAAAATTGCCCTCCCAGAAAGAAACAGGTCACTCGGTTTTGCAGGTGTGAGTGAGCACCCCGCGTGGGCTGGGCACCCATGCACGTGCGCATGCACATGCATGCACCCCTTGCCTGTCAGCCTCACCCACCTCCCACAAGGCAAAGAAAGAGGGTCAGGAGCAGCCTAAAGTCTACCACACAGCCAGCTTACTGCTGGGTCGTCTTAGGCACCAGCCGTTCACTGTGACATGCACTGTCAACGCTGTTATCTAGACTAAGTCTGTGACGCTGTGGAGGTCTCCCGGCACGCCTGAGCCCCCGCGGGGGTGTGCGTGGGGAGCTGTGGACACCCCTCCTCCTCCTCTCACTGATGACCACCGTCACCGCTGGGTCCCACATTGCCATACCTGAGCCTTCTCGGGCCCAGCAGAGCCGCTGAAATGCCTGGCTGTTAGTTAAGGGAGAAGGGCTGCCGGCATTACCACTCAGAAGGACTCCCACAGCCAGGGCGTGAAGAACGACCGGAGCAGAGAGCAGGGTCCAGGGAGCTGGGCAGTAATCGGGGCTCCACCCCCCGCCCCACCCCCAAGCCTGCTGGACAGCACCCCTGGCTGTTGGGCTTCGAGTCACACAGGTCACTTGACTTTGAACCAGCCACCCATCCTAAAAGCAGCAGCAGACACATGAGTTCTGAGCCCCATGGGGCTCCCCAGTTCCCAGAAACAACTGGCTTATTTCAGTGGGTCCATCTGAGACCGGTCGGCTCTCCCCCGGTTAAGCACCAATCCCCAAGGTCCCTGGGGCCTGCCGTCTCCCTCCCGAAGTCTCCCGGGCCCTGGTGGGTCCCACACACTGTCCTCTCCTGCCACCTTGCTGCGTGGGTGGCACGGGAAGGCCAGTCTCACCAGCAATGTCCTCTGCTTTCACGGAAGGGGCGGCGGGGAACCACTTCCCTAATGCACAGAAATCCGGAGGTATCAACATGAAGACCAAGGGGTGACCAGGGGCGAGAGTTGAGGGGGCTGGAGGTGGCAGGGCTGACAGGTACGTGAGGTATTTTTTGCCCTGCCCTACTGCTTAGCCGCGGCCGCTCTCCTACTGCTGGCTGGTTCCCGCTGGCCCCCAGCCACCCACGCGCTGTCCCGGGGCCTGCAGCGGGGCGTGGCCTGCCCCTGGCTGTGGCTCTCCTGTGATGCCTTCCTGGTGGGGGAACCTCACTGCTCCCCACAGCCCCCCACATGCCAAACTTCCTGTGCAAAGTTCTGACTGCCTGGTGACGCCCCGAGACGGGAACCACCAACAGCCAGACAAGGCAGGCCCTTGGGGCGGGGGCCCAAGTCCGCAGCCATGGCGGCAACCGCTGTTCTCACGGCAAACGTGCGTGGAGTTGAACTTGGCAGCTGGCACTGTGTCTACTGGCCGTCAGTGGCAGAAACGTCAGGGCTGGCCTCGGTTCGGTGACCTGCGTCAAAGGACTTTTTCAAAACAACCTTTCCTAAGAGCAGAGGCCGTCGAGACGAGGCCCGGCTCTGAGAAGCCAGGTGAGCACGTGCCCCGGTCCCCCAGGGCAGGGGCTCACAGCACCGGGCAGCGGCCGTTGGCACCGCTGATGGCACGTGGGTGCCGCAGAGATGAGCCCTTTGGGGGAAGTGGGTGTGAGGTGGGCGAGCCCAGCGTCCTGGGCAGCCAGCGCCGGGCACTCGGCCTTCTTGCCCAGCGAGCAAGCCCCACCCCCGTGCTGGCAGCTGGGCCTGCTGCTCCCTGACCCCGGGACATCCAGTGTGTGAGTCCAGTCAGGAGTCCAAGCACAGGACGTCCACAGTGGGGCGGGGGCCGGGCGGGTCCGCTCGGGCTGCCGTGAAATGCTGGGGGCACTCAGTCCCGGCGGCGTGAGGGGCTCGTTCCACGGCAGCCCGGGCCTAGGCAGCCAGCGATCCTTGGAGGGTCCTGTGGAAAGCTGCCACCCCCTCAGGGTCTTCCAGGAGGAAAGCAACGGGCTTAGTGGCAGGAGACAGTCAGGAGTGAAGGGGGCTGGTGGCGTCGCCGGGTGGCCTGGGCAACTGTCCAGGGCCCCCCAGGGGTGACGCCCGTGGTGAGTAGCGTTGTTTAGAGGACGACCGCTCATCACATAGACACGTTAGGAGCCGCTGGTCACTACAGCACACAGGTTAGTCGAGGTTATGAGCCACATCCCCGGGAAGGTGGGGTGTCATGTCAGGCAAGCCGATGGCCGGAGGTGGAGGCGCTCAGCTGCCCGCAGTCCCCAGACGAGCCCTGCGGGGCAGTGTGAAGGGCGGGCAGGGGGGAGCGGGAGAGGGCGGGGCGCTCAGTAGTCTGGGCCGGTGTGTCTTCTCCCGCAGGTGCAGGTGGCGTCGGCGTCCGGGCCCTCAGGACTGGGGCACCTGCTGGCAGCGCGTGGGGCTGGGCGGGAGCCTGGCAGCGGCGCTCTGCTCCGTGCGGAAGCTGTATTCGTACTGCAAGGGGACGGGGCAGAAAGGCACAGTCAGCACGCGAGGACAGCTGGGGGCCTATGCCGAGCCTCGCATGCGCACACAGACAGCGTGTGTGGGCCAAGCCCCGCATGTGCACAGAGACAGCACGTGTGGGCCGAGCGCGCATGCACACACCCCTGGTGCTGCAGGTGCCTGGCTCGTTTGCGGTGACTGGCACCTTTCACAGTCCCCGCCCCACTCCCCACAGGGTGAGACCTCAGCACCGGCAGCGCCCAGAGCCACGACGCCAGCAGCAAACACGTGCGAGCTGACCGCCTGCTGGCTGCATGCCCAGCACCCCCTGCCTGCCACGACCGCCCAGCAGACGGCCCTCGTCCACTGGGGGCGGAGTCACACCCTGGTGAGGCGGTCTCGGCCTCCATCCCAAACCTGACCTGAGGCCGGCCGCAGCCACCAGGCTCAGGGGACCCCCAGCCAGCTGCTCCACTCAAGTGCCTCCTGAGCACGCTGAGGACACACTCTGGGGGATACGAGACACACCTGCCCACGCTGTCCTCGCTGAGGTCCCAGAGCCACTCCCTGCAGGGTGTGCGAATGTCCTCAGTAACCAACGGGACCTGAGGCTTCCCGAGGGCAGCGCCCCGCGGACCACCCCCGCCTACGCCGAAAGAGCGCTCAGCCCTCACGCTTGACAGCAGGGCCTCCCTAACAGATCCTGGTGCACAGGAAAGAGCAGAGGTGGGTTCTGAGTCTGATGGGCACTCAGAGAAGGCGCAGTGCCTCTAGGGAGGGGACAGGGGGCCTGAAGTTCACCTTGAAGGCCAGGTGGGACCTCAGCATCTCCATGCCAGGCATGTGAGGGGCAGGTGAGGCGTGCCCACTGGGCAGAGATGGGCCTGCGGGCTGGGGGAGGGAGCAGGGGAGAGGAGGGGCGGGCAGGCTGAGGGGAACGGCCTAGAACACAACGCCGAGAAAGCCATGTGGTCCTACGGGTTTTGGGAATGAGGAGCTTAGATTAGGTCATTGGTTGTCGTCAAACATTTAAACTAATATTTCAAATCTTTTTAGCAGAATTGTCATACAAAGGGCTCCCCTACTTAAATCAGCAACATGGCTGCCTACAACCTGGACTCCACCCGACTCCATCCCCCACCCCGGGAGGATGCATCTCCTGCAGGGAGGGCTGCAGACCCCCACCGTGGGCCCCAAATGCCCCCTGCCCACCCCTCCCACCAGGCATGCTGGCAGAGCCTGCCCCACACCCCCACTGTGGGCTGCCTGCGGCCAGGAGGCACCTCTGGGGGACCACACTGAGTGAGAACAGCTAAAAGCTGAGGGTTTCGGGCTTAGTTGTGTCCTCAGCCCCACTGCCTGATAGTCCCACAGGAGCAACGTGGGACGGACAGACACAGATCTGAGCCGGGGGTGGGTGAGGCCTGGGCTGATCCTGTCCCCGCATAAACAGCGGAGGTGAGCAGCCTGGAGCGGCCACTGGAGCCACAGGCCCCAGTGACGCTGAAGACAGGACTGTGGTCCCTACAAACGGCATCTGTTGCCAGAAGGGGCGGGACGAGGAGGAGCTGATGTGGCAGGGTGACCCCAGGCAGGCCTCCTCCCCTCTCCGAACCTCAGTGAGCTCATCGGAGAAGAATCGGGGTCACGCCAAGAAATGACAGCTGTTGGCGAGGACGTGGAGAAAAGGGGACCCACGTGCGCTGTTGGTGGGACTGTAAATTGGTGCAGCCGCTAAGAAAGGCTGTATGGAGATTCTTGAGAAATTAAAACTAGGACTACCCTATAATCCAGCAATTTCCCTTCTGAGTTTTTATCCAAAGGAAATGAAAACATGGACCTGAAGAGATATATGTACCCCTACGTTCACGGCAGCATCTTTCACAAGAACCAACACAGAAACAACCCGACTGTCCGCCAGTAGGTAAATGGCTAGAGAAAGAGTGGTACATATACACAGTGGACTACCATTCAGCCATAAGATGGACGGAATCTTGCCATTTGTGACAGCGTCGTGCTGAGTGAGATAAATCAGACGGAGAAAGAAAAGCACCATTTGATCTCACTCAGATGTGGAATTAAAAACAACAAACTAAGCTCACGGATACAGAGAACAGACTGGCGGTCGCCAGAGGCAGGGGCAGGGAGTGGGCGGGTAAATGGGTGATGGCGGTCAAAAGGTACAAACTCCCAGTTAAAATAAGTCATGGGGAAGCACCACACAGCTCGCTGACTGTAGGGAATAATGTTGCACATTCGAAAGTTGCTCAATTTGTAACTATAGGGACAGATGCTACGTAGGCTGATCATTTTGTAATACATACAAATACTGAGTAATTATATTGTACCTCTGAAACAAAAATAATATTGTATGTCAATTACACCTCAATTAAAAAGACGGGGTCACAATGAGGTTCAGCAAGTTAAGGGACCGCCCGCCCCCAGTACCCGGCAAGCACTCACTGCACATCCGCTGGCTACTTGGGAGAATGAAAACAGCACCGGCCGATCACTCTTCTGCTCTCTGGTGACCAGGGCACAGCCCAGGGCCTCGGGATTCCAGCTCCCAGGAGGCTGGCAGACCAGCATGGCATTGGCGTCTTGGGGCAAAGCCTGGGACAATACCGCCACCTCGTGGCTGCTTGGGTGCATCACAGCAGGACGCATTCCTTCATTGGCTCCCTCAGTACCCCTACATCCACGCAGTGCTGGGCGCCGGGGCCAGAGGAGGACCCCATGAGGGTGGCAGGAGAGAGACATGGTCCTGGCCCATTAACCCAAATGAGCAACACAGGAAGGAGAAGAGGCTGGGTGAGAACATAAGGGTGTTTCTCCTCAGGAGCACCTAGAGGGAGCCGCTTGGCGGAGGAGACACAGAACCAGGGATAAAGGGATGGAAATTGCAAGCGCTCGGGGTCAGGGTCGCTGGACTTACAGACGTGGAGATATTTCAAGAAACGCATACAAGGTGTCGGGCCTGGCACTTGGGATGGGCGCCCAGAGGCTGAGGGGTGCTAGGAGGAGGCTGGGGGGCTTCACTCTGGCTGCCCTGAGACCAGCCTGGGAGACGCCTGCCTGGAAAGCGGGGAGGTGAGGCACCTCTCAAATGAGGGAGCAACCCATGCCAGGTGCCCAGACCACCTGGGCTCTGGCCCTATCATCTGGAAGGTTTTGGGGGATCCCTGCCGTGCAGGCTCTGGGGCGGTGGGGAAAACACGGTGCAGTCAGGCTGCCTTGAGTTGACGGAGGCTGGCCAGCACAGAGAGCCCACGCAGGGGATGGAGGCAGCAGCTCCCAGACACCCACAGCCAGGGGCCTGAGCCCTCTGCAGACCCAGGCGCCGGCAGCAGAGGCCCCAGTGAAGGGCGCTACAGCCTTCGGGACAGCAGGCTGGGTGGGAGCTGGGGAGAGGGGAACAGGACATATCCGAGCGTGGGGACGCACGTGCTGACCAGGGCTTAGTGGGGAGTCCTGAGGCCAGTCTTCAAGGCCAGGAGTATGGACAGGGTCAGTAGGAAGCAGGGGGCATAGACAAGCCTTCAAGGACAAACGGCTGAATTCTTGTTTCTCTCTTGTCTGGGCCGGGTGGGGGGTGGGGGATAGGGAGGGGCGGGCAGGGAGAAGAGCACACACTGCCTCTTCCTGACTCACAGCCCAAGTGCAAGGCTGCCCCCTCCGGGGCCCGGGGGCGCGCAGAGCACAGACTGCTGGCCCCCGCCCCCGCCCTTGGGATTGTTCCCTTTTTAGGTTGCACTGGCTAGAGGAAAGGGGGGCTCCCCCTCTTGTTTTCACTAACTCCCCAAATGAAATTTCAACATATGTCCCCTGACATAATCCCCCTTAGGCTGCGGATAACCCTTCCCACAGACGCTGTCCTCGGCCGGGGATTGCTGGCCCCCAAGTGTTTGCCCAAGAGACTAGGGCCGCTTCTGGAAGCCCTTTCACTCCCTTGGGCAAACAGCGAGTACCTTTGAAGGTGGATTTGGGCCCAGATTTGTTTACGCAAGACATTAGTCTCCCGCATAAGGAAAACCTGCCCTCGCGTACAAACAGCAAATCCTTTTTGAATTAAAAAAATTTTCAATTAAAAAGAATTTGGGCTCGCAGAGCCGAGCCCAGCTGAGCGGCGCCGGGCTGTGGCGCCCTCTGGTGGGCACAGGCCGCCATCACAGCAGCATCGGGAGCCTCGCCTGGGCGGCCTCTCCAGGAAAGAGACATCACTGTCAGGGGCTCCAACTGGGTGTTTCGCAGGGGCCTGGGGGGTGGGTGCTCCGGCCTGGAGACCCTGCAGCTGACGCCCTGACACTGACACATCTGACCTCTCGAGTCACGGAGCACAAGTCCCAACTTCCAAAAGCCTTTAGTCACAGCAAGTCCAGAGTCCTGACGGTGGGAGGTGCTGGCTGGCGCTTCCAACTGCACCTTGGAGGCTGAGTCACTTTATTGCCCAGCCTCAGTGGCAAAACGATGGCGGCCAACGCCGCCCCTCCCCCCGCCCCCTGGCCCTCTCTTCGGCCACCGGCCAGCGCACAAAGGCATTGTGAGACCGCACAAAGGCATTGTGAGACTCCCCTAAGACAACTCGCATGAAAACGCCCTGAGAGGGAAAACACCAGTCCTCCTGATGCATCAGATCCAAGGGCTTTAACCGAAGCCAGGGATGCCCTGTCCAGGGTGGGGTGGCGGTGGCATGGCAGGGCCGGTATCAGCACTTGTAACATTTACCAGATACAATAGAGACAGGCAAGCACAGACTCCCCGCTTTGCTCCCTGGGCCCAGTGATGATCACACCAACCAGAGAGCTCCCTGTGAGAAAAGACGATGGTAAGGGGTTGTTTCTAGCGCCTGAGTTTTCAGATTGGAAGCTGAGGCCTGGGGAAGCCTCACATGCCACAAAATCACAGACTGAGCAGAGGCAGGGCTGGCCTAGGCCCACAGGGGCGGCGGGGGACCGGCTCTGGCCCAGCAACTGGCACCAAGTACGTGTCTGCACCCGCTTCTTCCTGTG